CTTTGTTCTTTTACTTTTAAACCGACCTGAAAATTTGTCGAACTAAAAAGATATAAATAAAATTATAATTAAAATAAAACAAAAAACCCGTCTGCATGAAAAACAACTAAACTTGTGCAACTTTTTTATTTCTCATTTTTTATCTTTTTCCAACCTTTTCAGTTAGTTGTTTTTTACACAAGCGGGTTTTTTCTGGTATTTCTTTAAAAAATCTGCCAGATAAAGGCGCCTTATTCCTCATCAATTAAACTGTTGGCTATAAAAAAAGTAATAAATAAAGTCTCTGAAATGAGATCAGATTCCTCTAGAAAATTTTGTTTTTATGGGTTTGTTCAGATAACCTATCACAACCCCCTTAGCTGTATGTTTTTGTCCATTTTTGTTAGCTAAAATATATATATATTTTTTTTTTTTATTCTTACTGCAATGTGGTCTAATAAGACCTGAACTTTCATTATTTTTGCATAAGTATTCGGGATTTTATTTGTATAAGATAGTGGATATCATCTCTGATTCATTTCTTGTATTTTGTGATAGTGTGGAAATTTAGGATATCTTTTAACGCCATTTAATCTGTTGGTTTTTTTTCTGTTTATTTTTGCATTTCGAAACTGAATCATGACGAAACCTTCTCTTCAGCATTAGACACCCTTAAGCCTTCAGCTACTTAGTTTTGCTTCAGTTCCCTTTTCTACAGTATGCAATTCTTGAAGATATGCGTTAAGAATATTCTCCATACTATTAAATATACTGCAAAAAGCATAGTACTTTTTCTTTTTTTACTCGATTCTGAAAAGTTATTATACACACGATTTTCCTCGTTTACCAGAAGAACTAGATGGAATAGACTCGGGTGACACGTTTTGTAATGCCAGTGCAGTTGCTGAATATTCGGCATACAGTCAGTCATTGTTACTTTTTTATCATCATTTCTACCTACTCTTTCCAGTGTATAATGAACCAAGGGATGATATTCCTCTGAATATTAACAATAATAAGACATGAGTATTTCTTCAAAAACTTGTATGAAGTTGATAGTGTCGCAGTCGTTTTTCCGCTTTCTACTGAGGCACTATTTTCTCACATAAGATATACTAAATGTAGACCAATATGTCTAAATTTAATATATCTACTTTAAAATAGCCGTACTCTGTGAAACTACCACTAAAATATGATTTTGTGTGAATTATTTCAGATATCTTTTACATCACAGAAAAAAAAACACAAAAATACATTGATAAACCACGATGAAAGGAATAGCCAATTATGAAACTGAATTGACAGTGACATCCGTTCTCACACTTGTATTAGATTTTTTCTATTTTGTCTAAAAATACGCAATTGATGTTTAAATGACAACCCAAACTCTTAATTCATATCAAATTCACAGCTTTTTTTATTGGTTATTTAACATTTTTATACAATTACATTCAGAATAGTTGTAAATATTTATTTTCAATCTCCAAAAGATAAGGTTTTCAAAATATATAATGGTATATGGTGCTTTCAATAGGGTTGACGACTAATTTTAATTTGTTCGTCCGTCAGGTATATTATTGAAGAATATTAACATATTTTTTTTATTTTATTATAATTCATAAATTAGAGCGATACATTGAGTTAAAATGTCGCATGACGTCATGTTTTTGTACATTTTCTACAAAACTGTGACATAACGACTCAACTTAAATACCTATTATGTAAACTATGTCTTGTGAAATGGGAACAAAAAAGACTTATGTAATATTTTTCTATTATATGACTTACGGACTAAATACAATTTCTTTTTTTTGCCCTGTCATCAACCCATCATCCAACGTAAATGAAGAATGTAATTCCCCTGGTTTACCTCACTGAAGAATCCACGGTAAGTGAAATTACGTGAGCTTACTATTGTGCCTATGAAACCATACTATCTATCAAAAATTAATTCGTGCTTCTATTTTGCATATTAAGGGCTCGTAAACTGTACTATAACGATGACAATTACGAGACTGTAATTCTTACGGTTACGATTACAAGAGTCGTTCATGCTTAATGCAGTTCACGGAATGCTATGAGTCACGGTTTTGAACTTCCGTATTTCTCACTCCAATATCATCTCTAAATTTAATTTAATTAAATACCAACTGCAATATTGAGGTGATATTAATGATAAGCCAACGACATCTGATTACCTACTCAGTTTCTCCGAAACCAATTATTCCGTCTATTTTAGAAACATTAATACAATAATGCAACGGAGACCGGGTCCTGATACTGCCTCTGATGCACATATAATCTTCATAGATATGATTTTAAGAAAATTATAAAACCGATTCGAAATTTTCATACACTATCACACCAAATTATGTTTCATACACTATCACAGGATGTGGTGCGAAAACAAATCGCACAGCCCGATTTATAATAAAAGAATATAAAGATTAAATAATAAGGTCTTATTCCAATAATATACCTACTAATTAAAGCAAGAAGTTAACCTATTTTTAAAGCAATATTACGTACTGTTAGATATTTTACCTGACATTGGTAACTGCAATAGTAGGTTTGATAACAGCCCAAACATTTTTTCTTAGTGCTTTTTCTACAGATATGACAATACCCTTCAGCTATATGTAAAGCTGTAGGATTGAGTGATGTCACATGGGTTATCAAAGGCGTAAAGGCTGTTGAATTTGGTATATCTTGAATGACCTGTGAAAGAGATTTAATATTATGCATAGTTAACAGCACCTAACACTTATATGATGATTACACTGAGCTACTGGTGAGGTGTGATTCTAACAGTACATTTATATGTTGCCATCATTAGCCTATTTTCATGTTTCTATTAGGCACATGAATCAAATAGGAAAAAAATATACATGTAACACGACCACATTGGACATTGTTGGGTATTAACCATTGAAAATGCAGTTAGCTATTGCAAATGCAGACTTTGTAGTTACTCATCAATTTATTCTATTTCTCAATATATAAATCAAATTAGTTCCGATTTGGCTTGCCCTTTGCTTCTACAGTGGTTAGTACCGACTAATGCCCGGTTTCTGAGGGCTACAGTTAAGTTCTCAATAGTTATCGCTCCATTAAAGTTATGGAGAAGATAAACTTCGTTTAACTGTCACTGCGTTTCAGAACACGCAACAAACTACTCAATAACTATGTAACCAATAAGTAGTTCCTAAATTTACCACTAGATGGAACGCTTCAAGGAGGCAACCTAAATTTGACTTCTTTTATTTTATTTTGCACTTAGTACAGGTTTTATTTGCGATAATATGAGTTATCAAATACTATTTTAGTGTAAAAATATGAAAATAAGCTATTGTCAGTGTCTGTATGTAATGCCGAAGGACGAAAATGTACATCCTTAAAAAAAAAGAAGATACATGAAAATGTACATCCTTACAAAAAAAGCAGGGATCAGGTCGAGATGATAATTTTTGTCACCCATCCCATGACCGACCTTTGCGAAAGTTGCTTAACAACAATAATCGCGGGCAGCGGCGCTTATCCACTACGCCACCGAGCTATTCTCCCCTTGCTAAGTTTGGGAGAATACTGAGTAGCTTGCCATACAACTTGTTTACGGGAATAATTTTCATAAGTCTTCCTTTTAAAAAATAACAAAATAACAAGATCATATTAAAGTTGGCTATATAATATCCTGGGCCTGTTTGTTTGTGTTTTTAAACTAAAGTAATAGACAAAGGATGAACTAAAAATAAGAACTAGAGTCAAATTGCTTTTTAGTTTCCCGCACTTAGTATAGATATACTAGAAATAAACTCCATTACTTCTGTATCCGACTCTGTCGAACTGCTTTTATTAATTATACCACTATTCATTGTTTTTTCGAGTTTAATTTAGCTATAACGCAACGTTAAAATTCACCACGTAATAATAACAACCTAAAAATCGCATGATGTGACCACGTCCAAAACGTCAAATAAAGTTATGGAACCGATAAACGGCACAAAATGGTCAGTTAAGTTAACCTTAGTTTAAACGGAGTTTAACTGACGCGGCGATGTTCAAACGCAATTCTAAGAGTTATTGAGTCAATAGCGCTATCGAATCGATAAACTGCCGTTAAAAGTACCTCAGAAACCGGGCATAAGAATGGTTATGTATGTTATCCAACCTGGAAAGATCTTTAGGCATTAGCCTAAAGATTAATGATTAAATAAAGATGGTATTAACCAGGGATATAAATAGTATGAATTACATATTTTTAAATATTTATATGTAAAATTTTGTGTGTAATAACTTTTCGGCGTCATCATTATCTGACTGCACGTGAGACCTGACCCCATTTTGAGTGCAAATGACGTCACATGAGCTGCCATACAAACAAGTAACTAACGAACATGTTAATAAAATAAATATTCAATGAATATAATTAGAAAGAATAAAATGTGTGTGTAGTCAATATCCGGTAACTATGCATTGTATAACAAATATGTATTCTCCATGTCAAAATCTTACAGATATAAAATAATGTATTTTTATTTATGAAGCATGTCTCTTGAATACATGATGCCTAATGAGGAAGTATTTAAAAAAAACAAAAGCACTAAAAAAGCGCCTCCACTAGATGGCGACTCTAGCAAAAGTTGATTTTTACAGGAAACGAATGGACCAAAGACAGTTATTTCCGTACCTTTTAACTAATATATTAAAAAACTAAAATTTGAAAAGTTCGAAACTTAGATATCAATACAAATACGAAAAAGCACAAATAGAATGTGAGTTGTTTATTGAGTTTTGAAAACTAATTTACTTTTAAACTTTAAAGAAAAGTTGTCATGGAGAAATCAAGAACGTACCGTAGCGACATCTAGTTTGATTTCGGGAACTAATGTTCTTTCTTTAAATACTTCCTCATTCATTGTAAGTGGCTACTATTTCTTGTATAATTTTTTTTTGGAATCATAAACGAGTCTTTTAAGTCTTTTAAGATACTCGTAACTTTCAAACAACAATCATGAAACTGTATATCATATTCAACTTATTAGCTATCATTTCGTGAGACACAAATTTAACTGGGCTAAAAACTTGTTAATTAAAAACTGCACGCTTACATGATATTGACTAAAAGATGGATCATACCGACTGGCTTAGCTGGTGACTAAATGTAGTCACCAACGTTCCTGTTTTGACACCAATTCGTTAACTCTCACCTTATTTTCCAAGGGCGAATTTAATTGTTGAGGACTTATAAAACCACTATCTGGAGATCTAACGTAATCAATACTATAGAAAGTATTATTCGTATCTTCATTTGGTTTAGTTGTGTTGTATTCAGGTTCATTTTCAATTCTTGGTGTTACATTTTTCCAAGCAATCGTTTCATTATACGTAGGCGGATGTCTAATGTTCATGGGATTTACGATATTTATATTTTGACATTGACAATTGGCAGCCATGCATCTATTATGATTACCAAAAGTGTCTCTGTTTGCAGTGGTTGCTGAAACTACAGGTACATTGGGCATGTAGAAATTTCGTACGTTATTGTGCCAATATAAACCAGATTCAAAGTTATTATATCTTAATGGTGCAATGTTAGAGTGTATTTGTTCATTTGTAGGAAATCTTGGTTGTACATTTTTATTAAGATGTTGTTGTGAAATGTGCTCCAGCGGATGGTTTTTTGTCGGATTATTATTTAAGCTAGGCTCCAACGTGATTCTTATTTCTTTTTTATGAGAATCTGAGTTATAGATTGAAACTTTTGCTGTTGAATGCTGTTGGCTATTATTATTAGCACTATATGTATTATTTGATGATATTGTTGGTTGAGATAAATGTTTTCGCAATTCAGGTGTATTGTTGGAAGTTAATATCGCTGGAGTTATAGGCAGACTTCGTATTTCCTTTGCCTGCTTCGCCCAAGATAATAATTCGTAATAAAGAGGTTGTATATGTTGAACAGTTATGTTCATGTTTTTGGATTCAGCTAGTTTCATAGTTTGGTTAAAAAAGAATTCAGTAAATTTACTGTCAGTTTCTCTTGATAAAATGATAATATTAGTTGTGCAGTAAGATAGTTGAAAAAAGTGTTGCTTAATTCGGTTAAAACGTCGCTTTGATTCTTGTACAATTCTTGGATTACTATTATTAAGCTGTACATTAGCAACATGAATAAAATATGCTTCTAGAATATGTAATAGAGCCTCGGCAACTTTTGTTAGAAGATCATCAATGTAATGGTCGGAATCTATACTACTGTAATTATTTTTTAAACCATTATCATTTTTCTCATCAGTCTTGCTTCCATTATCTTTGTCATTTAAATCTTTTTCAGAATGTAGACTTTTATCAGTTGTAATTTTTGCTGATTCCTGTAGTTTTGAATGATTTGTATCGAGTTCTTTTTTTTCAGTAGATGTTTTATTTTTCTTATAATTCTTTTTCTTCTTTTTTTTCTTACTATCCTTTTTACTTAGTAGATTTTCTTTTAACATCTGTATTACTGTTGGTCTATCTTTGATTTTTTTTGTGGAAATCTTTGGTTTATCTTTACAATTTTCTGATTCCGTTTCCTTATGTATTTTAGGTGTAGGACAGTCATAAAAGTGAGATTTTACTTCAGTGTCATCTTCATTGTCATCGTCGTATGCTATGGTTACATTTATTGGCTTGTTGAAGTCATAAATTGCCATTTCGTTTAAAAAGTTTTCTGGAAATTTTAATTTATTAATAGAACCAAATTGTTTACAATATAAAATTACTAGGGACGAATAACCAATGTATGGATTTCCAACTTATCTATAATTTGTTACATATCTGAATTTTTAGATCAAAAGATTTTCTTTCGGCACCAACAGTATAAACCTACTTTATCATACATAGATATTGATTTATCATACATAATATAATTTAACCATGCCGTAGAATAATAAAGCTCGTCATAGTAATATATACAAAATTTACAAATGTTTTGACCTTATCATAGTTTCATTGGTAAATTGTCTTATGACTTTATAGATTCATCAATATTATAATATTATTTATAAAGATAATTGTATTTACTAAAAATATGTTTTGATAGATCATTACATTTATTCCGAAATTCTACAATTTGATCATTGTTTCGTATGTACAATTTATACCTTTGAAAATTTTTTGGCTACTGGCAACTTAATAGAAGCTTTTTAAATTGTAACTGTACATAAATCCATACTATCATATGTGTAAGATTGATATTTTTAACTTAAACAGTTAGGTATTTTTGCTGGTGAGTTAAAACCCTAATCCAAAATGAGAAGTTAAACTCCCCGAAATTAATATTGAATATGAATAAATTTTGTCATAAATACTGTTAAAACATTAAAAGGGTAAGTCGAAGAATAAACAAATAATGACTCCAAAGTATTGTGTAAGCATAGGGAGTAAATATGTTGTTTTATACTTTCATGGTCATTAACATCAGAATTATGAATTATGAAACGCATTACCCTGCATAAACGATACAGAGTTCTATGGATAGCGATATCTATCGTTAACTTGACGGGAGGTAAAGGTTGAACTACCCACCGCCGGTTACCGTCGTCGCTTAGAGCCGTCATTTTAGAAAACGAGAAAGATAGAGGGTATGGTATAGCACGCTGAGTAGTAGTAGTTCCTTGGCACAAGCTACATAGTTTGAGATTGAACAACGAATACGAGCTGTTTATTAAGTATAAGGGATTCAAAAAAATACTGGCATAAACAACCGGGAATAAATCACGCTAAATTCCTAATTGGAGGTCATTCACAAAAACTAGCTGAAGAACTCTTGAAGCTAAACAGAGCAAATATAAGTTCATTTGTACAAACAGGCACCTATTTAACATGAAACTAAGTGACACTGACATTTGCAGATATTGGAAACAGGAACGTGAAACACCAAAACATCTCCTGTGTGAATGTGGACCACTGATCCACAAACGAAGCATACATTAGGGACGACATATAATCAGCCCAAAAGATATAAAATCTCTAAAAGCCAAGAATATTGTAGACTTTTTGAAGTCGACCGGGCTACAGGAGTTACTATAGATCTGGCGGCGAGTCACAATAGGTCTTAAAGGTCGCACTGACTACAGTTCCTCAGGGAACTGCATAGCCCCTTACAACAATAAATAATAATAATAAGTATAAGTCGGTTTCCTTGGGCCCCTATCTCGTTTCGCTGTACATATATAGAACTGCACTGCACACTATATAGTTTACTCCATAATAATGTCCATCTCATAACCCAGCAATATGATAAAACAATTTCTAGCACTACTCAATCTAGCGCTTTAGCTATAGCAAAATCCACAAAACCACAGAATACTTTCCAGTTTCAAGCCTGACGCTTTTCTACGATTTTGTGTAGCGAGAGCCTTGATTCGTGCATCCTCTTCTATTTCTAAATCCTATATGAGCTTCCCACATCATTCTGTCATTCTTCTTTTGCTTACACTTTAGCTCCTAAACTAACCAACCTAATGTGCATTATACTTATTTAGGTTCAATCAATGCGTGAACCGTTACTTTTATACAAGTATCTCCAATTTTACCCAGAATCTACAAACTCTACCTTGTTCATCTCGGCAAACAGCATGTCATTCACCACTGCTGTTTCATTATTCAGAATTTCCATCTAATATTTGATCTCCTTTTTAGTAAAACTTTGGTTAGACGCCTAGAAAACGTTAGAACCCTAGAGAAGGGTCTTCTTCGGATTCACTCGTTGTGTTAGTATTCCTGACAAAATCTTCAACACCCAAACTCTTCTTGTTTATCGACAAGAATGTCCCCTGATGTAGATTTTACTTTATCCATTATTTGACATCAATCGATCACTTCCATTTATTAAAATTGGAGCAGAAGAATAAAGTGTAAGTAAATATCTGTTATAACAATATTTATGACAAAACTGTAGCATACTATACAGAAAAATATTTATTATAACCTAACCTTTTTAACGTTAAAACTGTGCTGGAGTTAGCCAATTCATATGTTTTATTCATCCTATAAATGCGACATAGTTGTCTAACATAAGTCTACCATAAAAAATAATAACGAAACTTACCAAAGTCCATTTTGATACTCTCTATTATATTTATGTAATTCCACTCGAGATATTATCTGAAAAAAAACATTGTAACGTTAATATTATATAGCTGCATGAATATTACAAACATAAGTTTTTATATAGCTTATATATTTTGAACATATATATATCTGTGATTAATAAATAAATAGACAGATTTTGTAAGCTCATTATGTATGCGGAGCTAATATAAGTCGAAAAAAAATGTAATCAATATTATGTATCATTGTAAACAGATGTTGGTTAGTCAAATAAATAAATAAGTAAGTTTGTTCTCAAGAGTTCGACGGTGCAGTGGCTTACACATATGCAAGAAAAATGTATTATAACCGAGGACCTAACAGGACTGATAAATTTTTCAAGCACTTATTACTTATTCGCGTATTTACATTTTACACAGAGTATTTTCATTAATACTCAGACAATCCACACAACAGGCGAAAAAAAATATTTAAAAAGAGAAATAACTTTCGATATAGATGAAAATTTGTTCTAATTATTATATATGATCAATTTAGGTCAATCAATTTGTGGTAGCTCAGTAGTTGGAGCAGTCGCCCGCATTGCGAAAGGTGTGGGTTTGAGTCCCGTCTCAAAGTGCCAAGGACAAAAAAGATTTTTAAAGCATTTTTCATTAAGAATAAAAATATATTATGTCAAGCACCTCTTGACTTGCTTGAAATTCCGGTTTCAACTCTGCATGTACAATATTTAGAACCGTATTATTAAATGTAATTTTAGTGTCAATCTGCCTGTAAGAAATGTTGAGATAATGTAAGGGCACATTGCTTAAAAGTCCTTTTCCAGTCCAAAAGGGAATGCTTTTTGCTCTGTCCATGCTACTTGACAGGCGGCAGGGGGTATGTGGGACTTTCCATTCGTATGGACCCTCCTAAAGACTAGTCAAAACGCGGATGGCATTCTCACCAAACTCTCTTCGCGCTACCCTTACTTTTGGAGAAAGGGCCTGGGATCCAGCAGGAATAATAAGCGACAACTAATAGCGAATAATAATAAGTACACGAGATCGTGAATGCCATAGAGGGTTGGAGTCCCTCCCCCTCCAGTTGTCCGAGGGGTTCTCATGGCAACATGACTGCCCTCTGAACCGCCAGGTCTGTGAGGAGAGCCCCGAAGGGTATGCCTGGGAGGATGTTTAGATGGACCCTATCTATACAGGGGGGATCTCATATTAACGCATACCTCCCGTCTGACAGAGCATGCGTAGTTGGCTGACAACCACTTGCACATTGAAAGGCACAACCATACCTTGTGCCGTTCCAACCCGCGAGGAGGAAACTAGGAAGTTCCCTTCTCACAGGTGGTGACTGTCACAGTTTAAATTCTAGGGTTTTTAGTAATAATTATATACCTGTGGATGCGAGCACCTAAGACACATTCCGAGTCACCAACACTTTATATAAATGACGTAATTATTATAGGTATAATGGACATTTAAGACATTTACGGTCAGTTGCACAAACATCCATTAGGTTTAATGATGCCCTTAATCTCTAATGAATGTCAAATGTGTATGGGTGATGTCGCTATAAACTAATGACAATTTTAATGGACGTTCGCAAATGGCTGAAAGACGTTTAAGACATTTATTTTATTGACAACACACATCGTTTATTCGATAAAAAAAAATTCAAAGAAACAAACTAAAAAGTAAAACACATTGTGTAATGCTTTGCGTTGCCAGGCTGACGACCTCAACTCGGTATAAATGGTGGGTAGAGCCCACTGCACTGGGCATTTGACATTGGCGGTAGCCGGCTAGCGCCATTTATAAGTTATTATGGCAAACTTCTATCGTACATTCTTTAGGAGGAAAAGGAAGATAGTGAGTATTACCATAGTTCCTAGTAAATAAAAAGATTATATATTTTTCTTCAAAAAATATTTCCTGAGTATTATTTTAAATATTCTTTATTTTAAAAAATCTTATAAATTGAAATTTAATATGAGACTGGTTATTATAATATATCATTAATATGCTAAATAATTGTTATATTTAACGTTACTATTTAGATTGGATTGAATTATATGAGCATTAAAAACATTAATATAATTTAAATCCACTTTATATATATATAGTAGAAATGTTTAAAATATTATATATGGCATAAGTTTTATGTAAAATTCAAAATTATTTTTTCCGTTTATTTGTATAAAATAATAATTAGGTTTACTAAACAAAATTATGTTATTTAAAATTAAAGGTTGTCCATTTTCATTGTGATATTATAGCCATTTTATTTTATATCTATATAGTATGTAACGTCTATTTTATGTATAGCTCAATTATAGGACTTCCTATAAATGAACTGACAGATTGTGTTACAATTTAGACGACGGGAAGACTTTTTTAAAAATGTATTTATTATAATAAACCTAGCTACATCTTTCGTAGTTGGTGGTTGAGTAAGAACTAACTAATAATTTTACAGCGTCCTATTTATATTCAGTACAATCAGGCATATGGTGACGTCGTGGGAGCACAAAGGCATATGGTGACGTCGCGGGAGCACAAAGGGTGTCTGTTGTAAATATTAGTAAAAGAGTAATTAAGATAGTTTACCTCGAAATGGGTTTTAGAACAGATGGCCCTTTTTAAAATAAGTAATCATAATATTATTGTTTCCCATAGGAAAACAGATGCCTGTTTGTTAACAAATTAATAAGTGAACTTAGTATGTCAAAAGGTTACTAAATGATAATAACAACAACGGGAATATTGATAGTTAATAGTTATGAAACTATCCTAGCTTCAAATATCAAAGGTTTAACACCACTTGCACATTGAAAGGCACAACCATACCTTGTGCCGTTCCAACCCGCGAGGTGGAAACTAGGAAGTTCCCTTCTCACAGGTGGTGACTGTCACAGTTTAAATCCTAGGGTTTTTAGTAATAATTATATACCTGTGGATGCAAGCACCTAAGACACATTCCGAGTCACCAACTTTTTATATAAATGACGTAATTATTATAG